TTACCCACCACAGTGCTTGGCATACAAGAGTTACGCGCATTCTCAGAGTAAATAAATGGAGTTATTTAGGAATAAGCTCAAAGGGATCTAAGATATAGCTCTCATTTATATTTTGCTCTGCCTTGCTTCAACATGGATGATGTTGCTGTTTATTATTCTTAATAATGCTGAACATTGTAATTTAGACGTAGAGGAAAACCATAAACCTCAATTGCCTTGTGTGAATTTGTTTGTGTGTGTATTTTTGTTTGGGAGGTTTTACTTTCTTTTTAAAGTGTGTATAAGTGAAATGAACACCAAATAGTGTCAATTTCACAAATTGCCTTCCCTAAACGGTGGCTTGCCCAAGACCCAAAGGAATCAAATCTTAAAAATAAAGTGAAAAACTGCAGTGAAGAAATGCATTTCGATAAAGAGAAGAGGAGAACCAGGAATGGAGGTGAGCAAGCGAGAGGCAAGACTGGCGAGGACAAAGAAGAGGCACATCACCATTTTCCCTGACAAGTGCCACCATGATGCTAGAACCGAAGTAAAGCTGCAAACTCCTTGCAAAATTGAGATGTCCCTTTTAAAAATGATCTCTTCAGTTATCATTGGAGCAGCTTGCTCCTCCAGGGTCGTTAACCTTCTGCCCTCCGTCCCTAACCCTGGGGCCCCAACGGTATCTGTCTAAGAGATTGGCTTCCAGAGGGGGTCAGTATTCTACTCTTAAGAGCCCCCAGAGCAAATGACTGAACAGATTAGGACGGATTAGACAGATAACAACTCAGACCTTTTTACAAGCACATTTTTCACTCGACACTCAAATTCCCTTCTGTGCCCCATAGTCTCACACAACCCAAAGACTGGATAGTATTACTGAAATATCTCTGCGCCAGCCCAGTGCGCGGAACTGTGCAAAGCCAGATGTTCTTGTAACCCTGTTTTACTGAGTTATTTATATCCATATAATATTTGACATTTCCTGTGTTGTTAAAGAGTTGGGGGCTCTTGACGTATTTTTAAGAGAACAGTGCCGACTTTTCATTTTTTTTTCTTTGATGCCCAGCACCAGAAATGAGCGTTATAGAGGGGGCCTGTATTAAACAGATGCTTAGATACCTCGAGTCTACCTTTAATGCCTTTCATCTTAAGTGATCTTCAGGAACAGAAAGATGCTAGAGTCATCTAGACATAGTGTACAAATTCAGCCCACCATGCGATAAAAACATATGCACACAGACTAAAACAAGCCAGCCAATAGACAAAGAAAAAAAATTTTTTAATAAATATTGGAAATATAATCCGTGTTTCTAAGGCTAAACTTTATGGAGTCTTGATACATGAACTATACCATCTCTTTGAACTTGATAGATATGGAAAGGGCTAGTTAAACTTTTTTCAGGCTTAGTAAAATATTAGCTGGCAGATTTCTCTGACTAAATGAAATAATGGAAACTTTATAGAGTTGAAAGTATTTGGTTGATCCCAAGTGGTAGTAATATTTAAACTGGACTTGAAAGTTGATATCATAGAAGGCAATTGTTCTGCTTTCTTTGTTTATTTTAAGGATCCATTCACAAAATATGTTGTTTTAATTTCTGAGATTTCCAATTTTTAAAACATTTACCCCTTGACAAAAAGGGAGAGGCCCTAGTTTACAGCCAATCCTTGGTATCTCTGGCTGCTCATCCCTGAACATAGGTGTTACTGGAAACCAGGGGAAGGGAAATGGGAGGTCTTTAGGGTCTCTTTGATTTCCAGAGTTGCTTTATAAACTTTTTTAAAACTCTTTATGTTAGAGTTTTGTTGTTGTTGTTTGCTTGTTTGTTGAAAGACAAGCTTCCTTTCCCCAAAACAGAGCACCCATCATTGTGCAGAAAAACTTTCAGAATACATTCTGTCTTCTACTCTATGTCTTATTCCTGGCCTGCTTACTCCCTGAAGGTGAGCACCCTCCTGACCAATCAAATCCCTCCCACCAGTTTAAGAAAACAAGATACCACAGCCTGCTAATGCCCATCTAAGCAGAGTAAGCTCACCTTCTGCAAAGCAGTGGTCAAACCTCCTGTAAATCTTCTAAGCTGTGATAATTCTTAAGTGTTCAAATAATGAGACAGATCCTCTTGGAGCAGATAGTATAGGACAGCCCTACAGGGCACAGGCTTGCTCATTTGGGTTGACAGTTGCCAACCCTTGACCCCCTAACCTATCCAGTTCTGTGCTAACAATTCCAGACGACTTTACAAAATGGCTAGGGAAGGGGTTGGGTGCCTGCAAGGCCATAATGCTCTGGATCATTGATGAGGGCATTTTATTCTGGATCTACACTTCTCAGAGTCTTCTAGACTTCAACAATGGTTGCTCATCTGGGGCTACAAGTCAAGATCTCTTCTCTACCTCCTAAAGCTTTTATTTACCCCCTCATTTATTTTCATTCAATCCACTATTCTTCTCTTTGAATGACAGAGGATTTTTTTCCTCTCAACAAATGTCTTCCATCTTTGCTTCATTCCTCGTAACCTCAGAACCTGCTCCTTGCTGCCACTGACAACCTCTAGCAGACTTTAGAGAATCTCCCTAAGTTAGGAACTTAAGTTAGTGGGTCACTGGGACAAGAGCTGAAAGCTACCTAAAGCCTATTCACAACAAGTGGACCCTGGGTGCTGGACACAGTGTTTTTTGGAAGGGACAGAATTCTGTTCATAATATTTTTGTTCAATCAGCCTTCAAATCTGCACATCCACTATATTCTCATCCAGACTTTCCTTCTCTGAAGTATGAGTTTTGAGCCCTGAGTACGATTCTCTATTTCACTAGGTTGCCCTCAAAGGGACAAAGAGTCAAGTTCAAGAGCATCTTCCTCCAGAAAAAATCTGTTTCTTCAATGATATCAGTGGGTTCTCCTGATGGGAGCCTGGAACTGGGGAAACAAAGCCCCACAGTGTGACTTCAAAGTGAGAAAGTTCATTTTCCAAAAAAGCTTTCACAGTCACAAATAATCCCATTAATCTAGCAACATCCATTAACAACACACGGAAAACAAGCAAACAAACAAATACTATGCCAGAGGAAAACTATACAATGTAACCACAATGTATGTAAGTCTAAAGCATGATATCTGTTCCAATAATAAAGAAAAAGAATAAAATCCATTCAAGAAGCATTAGGAAGCATCTCTTCAGAGCATTGTAGATTCTAGCATATGAGAATCTAATGTGAACAAGATAACATAAGCACAGAGCCTGATACAGTGCCTGTTGCATAATAGGCACTCTGTAAATTGCAACTAGACTCATTATCATTATTACATTAGAGAACAGTAGAGGCTCAGGTTCAGCTATAGATATGCAGGCATGGAGAGGAAAAATGTTGCTTTCTGCCAGGCTCAAACCACCCCCCTTACTCTGACCCCAATCCTCACCCTCAAAGCAAATGCCAGCTCAGAGTAGCCAGAACAGCCACCTTTCAACTCCCCTTCCCATCCTGTGAGCATAACAGCTAGAAATGCTTAAAAAACAAACATCCAGTCACCAGATGTCCCTCACATCTGGCTGAACCTATAAAACTATCCTCTACCACCATGGCCTCCTTCTTAACTCCAAAGGATAGGGGGAGGGAACCAGGGAAATCTCTGATGTAGCAAAATAAGATCTTGACATATTCCTCTTTGTGGCCTCTTTCTTTGTCTGTTGGATGTCCTGACTCTGTTCACAGCATTCGGAGGCATCCTCGTAGCTCCACAGAAAGTGGACTTCTATGGCAAAAGGACGAAATGGAAAGAAGCTTTACAGCCTATTCCTTTTAAAGTTCTGACCTAAGCTCCTGGGAATCAGAAAGGCAAACCTTAAGCATACGACAGGACTAATGTAGATGGCAGAGCACAGGTGAAGGAAGGACGAGAAGAAAGTGGCATCAATTCCTACAGAGACGTGAGGATGGTGCTGTGGGTTGGCCATAGAGCACCAGAGATGCTCTGGCTGGGACCTGGGAACAGGAGCCAAGACAACAGAAATAAACTGAGGGTATAAGGAGGAGAGGGAGGACTCCTCAGAGACAGCCATGCCTCATCCACGACTAGCCACACTAGGGACTGAAGACCACTCCTCTCTATTCAAGGAGTGCATTTCAGCTAACCCCAACTCTGTCTGGTAGGAGCCCTCGATCTTGCAAGAAACCCATGTCTCCTCCAAAAGAAGGACTTGGTCAGATTCCAGGATTTGGTGAAGCCCCCAAAAGGGCAAGAAATGGTGAACATTCCAGGTCACTGCCATATCCTCCACTACATCAGGATGACTTACCTTGCCCCTAACCAAGTAGCAATGGGATAGAAAGGTCCTTGGTCTGTCTAGACCAGGGATTCTCAATCTCAGCACTATTGCCCTTTGGGCTGCATAATTCTTTGCTGTTGGGGATGTCCTATATATTGGCAGATATTCAGCAGCATCCCTAGTCTCTCCTCTCTACGTGGACATCACCACCTCCTTGTTGTGGCAATCAAAATGTGGAGAGGAAAAGCTCCCTGAGGAGAACCTCATGCTAAATTAGATAAGCCAGACTCAGAAAGCCAAAGGTGGAATGTTTTCTCTCATATGCAGAAACTCAGGCAGAATGATAGAAGAAAAGGAGGGGTAGACCTCATGAAAAAAGAAAAGAGATCAGTGGAGTAGAGGAAGGGGATGGGGGTGTAGACAGAGGAGGAGCGGGGAAAGGGAGGAACCATGGAATGAAATTGACCAAGTTATGCTAGGTACCTATGTGAATATATCATAGTGAATTTCACCTTTATGTTTATCTATAAAGCACCAATTTTAAAAACAATAAATAAGTAAATAGAAGAAAGACAAGTAGAGTAGAGGAAGGAGAACAGGGGGAGGAAGGAGGAACAGAAGAGGAAGTACTGGGGACAAAAATGAAGTGAGCTATACTCCATGCATGTACGATTACATCAAAATGAACCTCAATATTATATATAACTGTAATGTGCTAATAAAAACGTCAAATAAAAAAATTACCTCCGGTTAAGAACTATTGGTCTAGATGGTTAGAAGACCCTCCTAATTGCACTGAATCTGCACCTACCTTCAGCATTCCAGGGCAAAACATTAGATCCCTTACACCTACAACTGGTGACCAGCAAGCCACAATCTCGGACATCATCCCAATAAGTACATATATTTAACAGTTTCAAAATATTTGAAGCACCCACCACTTCCATTAATAACCCCCACACACAAACACACCCTTTTAGAGGTGTGGTGTAAACCAACACCAGCACACACCATTTCTTTTCCTAGTGCAATAAAGTTTCAGAACAGTAGTTAATTGTGAGGGGAAGTTTGCATGGGCTTAAGGACTTAGGGAGCAATAAAAGGAAGCTAAATAATGATGGTGTGAGCATAAAACACTGAAAAAGAGAGCAAATCTAATACAGAATTTGAGGCTACTGGCAATTTTTGTGGAATGGACAATTTTTGAACACACGCTTGGGCTATTAACATTATCCTCAAATATTTATTAGAAAACTCCACCACTTAACAGCCGTATTAGACTGAAAAAAAAATTTATTAGTTTTCTAATGTTTTTCTTCATCTGTGAAATGGGGATATAATAGCATACTTTATAGGACTCTGATGTAGATTAAAGGAACAAAGTCATTCAAGCACTCAGCACAGTACTCTACAATTCCTCAATGAAGTCATCCACTATTGTTATTTTCATAATAGTAGATGGGTGGATGGAGCTAACAAAGGATGATAATAATAACATGCTATGCCACATGTTTTGTAGCTTTAATGTATCTGATCCTTACCTAGCTTTGTGACACACGATGATCATCACAGCCCTCTATTGGGAATTGAACTCCAGAGGTGGAACAGACACATACTTAGTATCTGGTAGACTGAGACCCCAGCCCAGGCCTGAGGTCCCCATGTGAATTCTCTTTCACCAGACCCACTTTATACCATGCTGACAATCTAATCCCTCAATCAATTAGGATGATTTCAGCACTCAAATAACTTAAACAATGAAGAATTTGATTTGCTCATAGAACATCCAGAGGTCAGGCAGCTATGAAGAGCAAGCAATCGGGTCTCTGGCTGAATTTCACTGAGGTTCTTTCAATCTGCCTTTCTCTAGGCATCAACTGTGTTCTCTGGGTGGATGATAAGATATCCACCAGCAGAAACTGAGCCAGAGACAGAGAGAGAATGACTACTTACCTTTCTTCTTAAAATTGAACCTTATGGTGTATATTATTTGTCAAAGCATAGATGGAGAAATGGTTAAAACTGCAAAATAAAGAGATAAAATTAATAAAAACAAGAAAAAATAACGAGAAAGAAGGTTTGCAATCTTTGCCACAAAGTAAAGTCACATGACCACCTCAGAGCCAAATGTTTCCTGGAAGGGTGGGCTTGCTCTGATCTAGGAAGCCAAACCCTAGCCCACCCCTGGAATGAAGCATGATTCAACAGTGCCAGAGAACAGGTGGTATGGAGAAGAGGTACACACCAGGCCAAGGTGGTCTCAGGAAGGAAGGAAAAGGGAATGGAAGCCCTGTCAATAGACAGCCATCAACCCCATAATATATTTGACTTCAAAGTTTCTTATTGAGGATATTCTCCAGCTTCTATATTCTTTGGGGCAATCATCCAAAAAAAAATAAGTTAACATAAATAAAATAAAAATAAGTTGTAAATGAGTCTGGTAGAGCCTTCATAAGAAAATGAGTAAGATTTAAGGGAAGTTCTGAGAAAATTAAGGGAACCATGTACCCTAGAAGAGACCCCGGATAAATTGATCAAAAACAGGAGAAGGAAGAGTTCTGACTAAAGAGACATGAAATGTACAAAATCCTCAAAAAGATGAAATTTGCACACAGTTGAATTCCAAATGCTCAAACATCCCACCAAGGGCTTCACAGGGCTTCACAGTGGTTTCTGCCATTTAATTTGCTCCATGCTACAGAAAGCAGCTCTGCACCCTTGGTTTGTTATTAAACGCATTGCAGGGAAGTTGGCTCATCCTCTTTTTATGAACAGTTTCTCTTCTGAATCATCATAAATCTTTAGCAGTTCTTCAAGTGTTGGATTTACTCTTTGTTTTCAGGATTTAGCTGCAGCTGATCCACAGATACTACCTCGTAATGGCCTGAAGATGTCCCCTGAGAACAGAGATGAAGAGCTGAGAAAATCTTTCCTTCCATGCCTAAGAGAAGTGACTACTAGGAAATGTTTTCCTCATGGGCTTGGAACTCACCCTCACTCCTGTGATGAAAGCCACTTCTCTGAGTGTCCTGGGAGAAGGTGGAGAGAGGGAATCTGGTGAAACCAGAGGCACAAATGCATTCTTCCAGTCAAAGAACAAAAGAGAAGGACAGAGAAGCATGCGATGAAGGAGTGGGATTTTGCTATGGCACTGCTCTCCTGATTGTGCTCAACTCCCCTCCAGGAGCCCACAACAAAGTGTGGGACAGGGCAGCTACGGGAACCCCATGACTTCCCAGGTCCCTTCACGATGCTGGAACTGTGGTGCTGTACGCAACCAAGTACTTTGCACCCTCCTTTCTTCCTCCATTCTAGCAAGGACCTCAAGTTGTAACCCCACTCACAGATGAGTCCTAAGAACAAATATCACAAAGTGGAAGAACAGAAGCCCAATGTTATTTTTTTGGATATATGCTGTCCCCCCCACCAAATTCCTGCGTTAAAATAGGATTATTCAGAGTTAAATTATTGGATTGTAAATGTAAAATGATTGGAGAACCGTACCCTAATTACTCCATCCTAGTTTGAGTGGACTGACTGGGTGGTTACTATAGGCAGGTGGAATGTGGCTGGAAAAGGTGGATCACTGACTGCATATTCTGGAAGGATACATCTTCAGCCCCTCCCCTTTCCCTCTCTCTATATTCCAGCTGCCATGAATGGAGAAGAGCTCCTCCTTCAAGCCCTTCCACTATGATATTCTGCCTCATTTGGGGCCCACAGCAATGGACTTGGCTGACCATGAACTAAACCTCTGGAACTATGAGCCAAAATAAAGTTTCCCTCCTCTAAATTGTTCTCATCAGGCATTTTGGTCACAAAGGTGACTCACACCCAAGATATCTGACCTTATTGTTAAAATAAAGTTGTCTAGTCCTTACATTATATCCTAACTCTCCCAAATGCCATGCCACCAACACCCTTCCAGTCATATCCACTCTTTATTCTGAGTTAGCAATTTAACCAGTATGTCTGTAGCCATAGCCTCTAAAAATTCAGCCATCAACTCCAATATCTATGAACACAGATTCTAAAGGTGAGGGACAGGGGGCATAAGAGAGTTCATGTGTTTGTGAGATTTTTCCTGGTCCACTGTTTCAGTTGTATGCAGACCTACACTATGGGTCTTGGATTTAGGGTCCCAGAGACATGTCTTAGGTAGGATGGTCAATGAAAGATGTCCATTGACATAAGCTTGTCCAAGCAGAGCAGCTCCTCCTTGCTCCACACATGTGCACATAAGTTATGCAAACTCAAGCCTTCTGTTTCTGTTTATTTGTCTTGCATTGTGTTGTTTTATTAACCAGAAACTTGAAAAGGAGGCTGTCTTTGTTGTGTTGCCATTTGGCAAGGGACTAGAGGTTACAGTAGCAAGCGGAGCCTAAACATTTTTTTTTTTAAACCTTGATGAAAGTTCTTTCCAGAAAGAAAAACTATATCCGATTCCCTGTCTCCCATTGAACCTCTGAAGGACTTCCCACACCTTACCTTCAAATAACAGAACCCTAGCCAACGAAAATGGAAAAACATAAATTTTTGCACGTAAAATGAAAAATCAGAGGGTGCAGACAGGCCTGTGTCAACAGGGTATTTTTAGCCATCAGTGAACTTTTAAAATCAAGTTTTAAGGCATGGTTCTCTGCACATGCATCTGTGATGTGCTATTTAGGATCTTTGCCATCCATGGCTCTCTCACCACTTCCCACAGCAGATCACATGCCTGTTTAAAAGACAAGAAAAACTGAGGCCAGGTAGGGAGAAAATGACTTGCGTAAGTTCTCAGTGATCAAGAAACAGAGGTGAATGTCTAGAGATGACAACTCCCTGATCCCCACACCTCATGGGGCAAAGATACAACTTCCATTTTCTTTCATCTCTCTTTCTCAATATTCACTCCTTTACTCCCACCCTAGAACCTAAGTTGTCTTAAAGTATTGTCTCTTTATCGTGCATTACTTTTCTCTTTCTCCAACCCGAAACCCAAAGTTCCCCAACCCTAAACTCAAAGAAAAAAAAAAAATAAGGACCGAAAGAGCTCCCCTTGCAAGGCTTGCAGAATCCTGTCCCTGGGTCCCAGAAGCAAGTTTTTGAAACAGAGGGTGACAGTGAGTGACGGGCTCTGGTGGGGGCTCAGTTATCTCCGGCCCTGCCCTTGTGCCAAGAGAGGAGATGAATGCTGCGGCTCAATTTTCCCTCTATTTCCCTCAACAGTCACGGGTGGCTAAGTCTCAACGATCAAGCTGTGGCAGTTAGAGGCAGGAAATGGAATCGGAGAAGACAGACTCGAACTTACCAACCATGGAGAGCTCAGGGTGTTTCTAACTCTTCCAGATCCAAAAGCCCCCAGCTCTGTTTGCACCTGTGCAAATCCTCTAGGGCTCAGATGGCCCATCAAATTCCCTGAACTGCTTCTCAGGCTGGGACTGCATCTCTGCCAGCTGCTGCTGCACTGACATCTTCGAGGAACTGCCCTGAGTTTCCTGCAAAACTGATCTGGTAGGGTCGAGTCACATGCAAACTCTGGTCTGAGAATCAGGATGTATATTCCCCTCCTTGCTCCTTCCATGTAAAAAACTCAAAATTCTTCACTTTTATCCTCAGTTTTCATCAATCTGACATATTATGGATCTGAAAGTAAAAATATAGGGTCAAATGCACCTGGTAGTAGAGACAACTTGTGCCAGCAGCTGTATGCATATGGATGCTATACAGATGTCACTAATACACCAGAATGATAAAGATTTGGGGGTCAATAGAGGCAATTCTTCCAGTCATGCAAAAATTATGAAAGTGAAAAAGTTTATTTTAAGTAACTAAGCAAGATTGTTTAGAAGCTGGACTAGATGAATTCCTAAGGCCTTTTTAACTCCTCACAGTGTATGTGTGTATGTGTGTGTGTGTGTGTGTGTGTGTGTGCGTGTGTGTGTGCATGAACACATGTGTTCCCATAACTGAAAGCTTTCTTGCATTAATAAATAGTTCATGAGCACTCTTAGCTTATCATGCTGCCTAGTTCTGTTTAAAGTGAGTCAGCAATCAATCAAGTACACCTTTGGTTTTTCTGGTAAATGGCAATTTATGAACACATCCTTTATGTGTGTTGATTAAAATGAAAGTAATTTAGCAATTGTTTTATTAGACTTTTTCCAATGATGTTATTACATTTTTGAATGGGTATATTTTGGCAACTGGAACTGCTGGATATTTTAGAGTTTGATGTAACCACATTCATCAATTAAGTAAAATACATATATTTCAAATACTTAATATTAAAGTCTACTTATTAATAAAGTTAATATTATTAAAAATTAAACCTGACATTGTACTGTTTTAACACATAATGTAACTTTATCTTTACTAGAGCCCTTGGAGATAGCTGCTGTTATCTATTTCTAGTTTAATGATGGGAAACTGAGGCTTGAGAATGTTAAATAAGTGGTCATATAACCAGTATGTAGCAGAGCTAGTACACACACTGAGAATTGTTTAACCCAAGGCTAGAATCTTAACCACCATATGACATTGCCTTGCTGTACTGCTGGTAATGTTAGTTTAACAGCAATTACTTAGTAATTACTTAGTATTCATATTTTTTAGAACTTAATATATGTTCAAAATTGGGTAGGTGGTACCAAGGATTGAATCCAAAGGCACTTAATCACTGAGTCACATCCCCAGCCCTTTTTATTTTTAATTTTGAGACAGGGTATCGCTAGATTGCTAAGGCTGGCTTTGAACTTGGGATCTTCCTACCTCAGCCTCCTGCTGAGGATTACAGATATATGCCACTATGTCTGGCAATATATGTTCAAATTTCTAAAGATTTATCTTTCTCAGGGAGTTTCCTAGTAGAAAAAATAAAGGAGAGAGATACTTTTTAGTAACAAAAATAATCAAAATATAGGCAAAAATAAGTCTGTGTCTATACCATAATGCATGGTTGCTCAGATCTTACTTTGGAGACATGCCACAATTAGTCCCTTAATAATTCACAGGAGATTTATATTCCTATTTTTATGTCAGTACTGAATCATTGCTGTAACACCAAATATTGATATTTGCAGTCCAGCTTTTGGCACTGTTGTATTATAACTTCTTTAAAAGACGCACTACAATTTTTATATTTCTAAATATTGTTGAGATATCATTTCTACTCAATTTTATTCATAGGCTCAACACAACTCAATCACAAACCCAGAGGCTTTTAAAGATCTCATCCAATGATTCTAAATTTTACATAGTACAGCTAAAGAATAGAATAGTGGTAGAATAGCTAAAAGAATTTTTTGCAAAAGAATAAAGTCAAAGGACTCACATTTCCCATTCACACTATAGTTTTTGAGACTTACTTTAGAATCACTATAATTAAGACATTGTGTATTGGCAAAAGAATGAACATTCAGATGAATAAATAAGAGAAGAATAAATAAATAAGCCACAGTGGACCTACACAAATAAGCCCTACTGATTTTTGACAAAAGCATAAAAGCAATTCAATGGAGAAAAGATGGTCTCTTCAAATGAAATAATGGCATTTGCCTGTGAATGGATGGATCTGGAGACTATCATGCTAAGTGAAATAAGCCGATCTCCAAAAAGTAAAGGCCAAATATTTTCTCTGATAATCAGATGCTAACATACAATAAGTGAGGAGGGGGAGGTAAGAAGAGAAATTCAGTGGATTAGACAAAGGGGAATGAAGGGAAGAGAGGGTGGAGATAACAAAGACAGTAGAATGAATTGGACATAACTTTCCTATGATCACATATGACCAGTGAAACTCCACATCATGTACAATCACAAGAATGGTAGGTTATACCCCATTAATGTATAATATGTCAAAATACACTTTACTGTCATGTATATCTAAAAAGAACAAATAAAAAAATTACCATAAAAAAATGAAGATAGTCTCTTCAACAAATATTCAGAACACTTGGATATCTGCAAAATTAATTGAGTAATTAAATAATGAACCACTATACATACCTCAACACCTTATATAAAAATGAATTTAAAATAATTAACAGGCTTAACTATAAATTTTTTTGAATTTTTTTCAGTTGTTGATGGACCTTTATTTTATTCATTTATTTATATGTGGTGCTGTGAATTGAACCCAGTGCCTCACACATGTGAGGCAAACACTCTACCACTGAGCCACAACCCCAGCCCATAAAACTTAAAACTATTAAACTTCTAGAAGAAAACATAGAAGAATGCCTGCATTTCCTTGAGGATAGCAAAGCATTTCAAAGCATTTCAAATATAACAAAAGCAAAATTCACAAAATTAAGAAAAACACATATATAATTGCTCTTTGTCAAAAATGTAAACTCTTACTCTGAGAAAGACACTGTTAAAAGAATAAAAAAATAGCCAGAAATGGTGTCTCATGCCTGTAATCCCAGTGACCCAGAAGAATGAGACAAGAGGTTTGCAAGTTCAAGTTCAAGGCCAGTCTCATCAAATTAGTGAGGCCCTAAGCAACTTAGTGAGACCCTGTATCAAAATAAAAAAATAAAAAGGGCTGGAGATGTAGTCCAGTGGCTATTGGGTTAAATTACCAGCACAAAAAGGAAAAAAAGAAATAATGAATACAAAAAATAAGACCCAGGTAGAAAATACTTGCAAGCATAAATCTAATAAAGGATTTGTTTCCACAAAATATTTTTCAAAACTCTCAAAATTCAAAAATGTAAAAATAAAATAAATACTGGATGAAAGATCTGAATAAGCACCAGAGAGAAAACATGTATGGTAAGTACACATATGTTCTGTATCATTAATCATTTAGGGAAATACAAACTAAAATCAAGTACTGGTGAATTTTAAGATCTAAAATTAACACTTAAACAAAAGTGCCAAACTGATTTCAGCCACTTCTGAAATCAGTTTGGCAATTTCTCTTAAGATTAAATATTTACTTGCTGCAAAGTTTAGCATCTTACTCCTAATTATTTAGCCCTAGCAAATTGAAAGCTCACATACAACCAAAAATCTGTAAGCAAAAATTTATATCTTTACTCATGTTCACTCAAAATTGGAAGGAGCCTAGATGACCTTCAACAGGTGAATGAATAAACAAAATGTGGCATATCTAAATAAGGGAATTCTGCTCAGCAATAAAAAGGAATCTCACTAATTCACACAATAAAAGTGGATCTTTAGTGTATTTTGCTAAGTGAAAGAAGTCAGACCTTAAAGCCTACATATTGTATGAGTCCATTTATATGACATTGTAAAATAGGCAAAACTAGGAAGACAGAAAACAAATCAGTATTTGCCTGGGTCTAGGGATAGAATAATGGAGACTGCAAGAAAACTTGGGGGTTGATAGAACTACTGTATGATACTATGGTGATGCTCTGCATTTGCCAAAACCTGTAGAACTGTACACCACAAAGAACAAATGTTACTGTATGTAAATTTTAAAAATCAATTTTGATTTCAAGAAAACCTGATATGGAATGAATGCTGTGAAAACTGAGACAAACTGTATTACAAACGAATGAGGAAGATATGAGGAAGAATGGAGATCGTATAAATAACATTGGAAAACAGTGCATTGATCCGATACTGTAAGTCTAAAGACCAGAAGAACCATGCATAGACAATGCACTACAGTGGGGTAAATTTGTCTCTCCCAAGGGTATGTATTAAGCAATTTTGAAATTACTTTAAAGGTATGCTAGGCTTGAACAAATAAGTAAATATATTATGGATAAGTGCCATATTTCTTACTGTTGAGGAAATAAATTGTAAATAAGAAAAAAAGGAAATTTTAGAATAAACTCTGTAGCACTAGATTGGCATTGGAGGTATCGGCATTAACTCATTTTGAATCTATCCATACAGATTCACATCCCCATTCATATGTTGAAGCTCTAATCCTCAGGAGACTGTGTTTGGAGTTAGACTCTGTAATTGCAGTTAAATTAGGTCTTTGGAGTGGGTCCATAATCTAATAGGACTAGTGTCCTCAGAAGAGGAAGAAACACTAGGAATGTAGGACACAGAGGAAAGGCCATGTGAGGATACATCAAGGAGACAGCCACCCACAAACCATAGAGAGAGAGACCCAAGGAGAAAACAACCCAGCCAATGCCTTGATTTTGGACTTCCAGCCTCCAGAACTGTGAGAAAGAAATCTCTGTTGCTTAAGCCACCTAGTCTGTGGTATTTTGTTATGGCATGCCTCACCAACTAAGACACAAACAAAAAGGTACAGAAAAAATAATGGACATAGGTATGCTTATGTTAGTAAGTTCCTTGCTGTCTGCTGAGAGAGCTAAGAAGTACCACCCCTTGACAGTGAGCACACCTAGGTCCCAAATTTGGCTTCTAAATACCATTCTTTGATAAAAGGAACCAAGGATTCTATGAGAAGCAGTTGATCCCAGGGCTGGGGCAGGGAAAACACAAGATGATCCTGAAGTATCCTGTGAGGCAGAAAGTAAGGAGGTGCTGAAGAAAAAAAAAATTCAAAAAGAATAAAAAGTTCAAAAACATTATTTTAAAATGTCAAAAAGGATGCAGAAATCAACCTGAAAGAGCTCCTGAAGGCCACAGTCAGAATAACATGAGCCACAAAATAAACAATGATAGTACTGGATTACAACCGAAAGAATAAAATGAACATCCCTGAGTCCATACGAAGATAAGTCGATGAATAAATGAATAAGCTGACCAATCAATCAACAAATGAGAAAAGGCAAATATTCCTTACAAAAGAATTCCAACTGATAAATGTAGAAGGAATTCGTGAAAGTACACTCAGCACACCACAGTGATTATTGTTCAACCTGAAATCCATCAATGAATGCTGAAATCAGTGTGCTAAAGAAAGAGCAAAGAGAAATTGGATATTTATATAGCCTCAGAGAGTCTCCCCATAAAATATTTGATAATTACAAATGCTAACTTCACAGTGGAGAACTCCGGCAGGAGCACTTTGACCAAGAAACCAAGATTAACAGAACTAGTGTTGTGGTTTGAATCATCCTCCCAAAATCAAAGACTTGTCCTATTGGGAGGTGCTATGGACCTTTAGGGGTTGGGTCTTATGGGATGTCATTAAATCATTGTGCTTTTACAAGGGATTGTGGGATCCCAGTCTCTCAGTTCTGTCTCTGTCTACTTCCTGGCTCATGATACCAGCAATGTCTTTCTATACACAATTCTTGCCATGGCCCCTGGGTACTTTCATCCGAGGTCCAAAATGATGAGACTGCCTGATCTTGAACTGGAAACTTCAGAACAATAACTTTAAAAGCATTTCTCTTTATAGTTACATTGCCTCAAGTCTTTTGTTGTACTAATAAGAAGCTGACTAACACAACCAGTAATAAGACACATCAATGTCACATCTCCTGGCATGATATATTGCAAAAGACACATCACCTCTGTGGCACTTTTCTCCAAATACATAACCTCACTTTAATCACAAGTAAGCTTTGGACAAACTCAAATACCCTCTGAGATATTCCATAAACTATCCTCTTACTGTGCTCACCAATGCTCTCCCAAAATGCCAAGGTCATGAAAGAGAAAAGACGGTGGAACTTTACAGATGAGGAAACTATGGATATCAAACCAATAAATGCAATGTGGGTTTCTGGATTGGACCTTGGAACAGAATAAGAACATTTTTTGGGGGTGGAGGATAAAGTCTGAATAGTCACTAGTTTAGTTAATAGCATTATAGTAATGCTAAGTTTTGATAATAGTACCATGGCTATGTATAAACCTAAGTGGAAGCTGGGTGGAGGTGTGAACTCTGTCCTATCTTTGCAGCTCTTCCTCTCAGCATGAAGTGAAGGGAAATAGAAGGCAACACTGGATGTTTCATACATGGAGAAAAGGGAGTAGTGAAAATCAGTAAATGGGTATCATCAGTGCACCAGTGCACAACCCTCACCACCTTCCAAAGGAGATAGAAAGTTCATCTGTGTCATGGGACTTGTTGCTATAAACTCAACCAGGGAACGTGAGATTAGAAATTAGACAACCTGAGTAGCCCATCCCTGCTCTGTGGCTCACCCTGCAAGATTTGATAAATTACCTAATGTTGCTTAGACTCAGGTTTTCACATGAGACTCAGTTTTCACCAAGTCAAAGATAGTATCAACAATCATCATGTCTTTTAATGAAATAACATTTAAATTTTTCTATGAAAACAAAAAGCGATTTGGGTTGGGTATTCTATTCATCTGGAAATAGAGCATGAATTTCTCTTGGGTCCTTTCCAGTCACATATGACTCTAAGCACTACATAAAATATATGACACGAATGCTATAATAGTAAAACACTATCAGGTTTTCTATGTACACTCATATCTTTCTTTGACAGAAGTAATATGCTTGCTCCTTTATTAGCATGGGTGGCCTTTTCAATAGCACATATATTGAATCTCAGACAAAATTTATTCTAAAGATAAATGTGAGAGGTGGGGAAGGGCAATTCCCTTTACAAAAGCATTACTTATTTAAGAAAATTTAAAAATGCTTAACCATGGAACTTATATAACTTTTTATATAACTTATGTAACTTTTAATGTCACCAATTTAATGGTCATTTTTCACAAGCATAGCAGTGGCATCAATTAATGTCAGCTGCCTCTCCACAAAACACACAAACACACATGCTAAAAGTGCAAATGTGTGTGTGTATATAAGCAAGTAACTATTATTATTTTCTTTTATTTTATGTTTTAGAAAGCTGTATTAGAATAACCTCCTCCCTAGCTCTAGCTCACACCCTTGTTGATCTTGGTGGGTTCCACTTTTCCTACCACAGCAGTTGCAAAGGAGCTGAAATGAGAGGGCCCGAGTTTCAGCCATGTGTTCCCTCCATTCCTGTCCCCAAGGGCTGGCAGGAAATGCCAGCCTCCTCACAGGAAAGTCTGTTGTGGTGAGATTTCCCGATTTACTTTATAAATGCAAGAAAGCCAGATACAGGAGGAGATAAGTGTTTAAGATTGCAAGTGCTTATCATCTCGCTGGGTTCTGGGCCCCACAGCCAGGACCCGTTTCTCTTCTAAAGATCCAGGCCAAAATTTATTTTGGTTCTAAATTGAAAGGCCTGCCCAACTGAAAAATATGATCACCATCCACCCTTGCTGGTCCCTACAAGGAATCCACTCCAAACACCTTGCTGGGTTTTCACCGCGAGAGGTTTTCTTTCCTTAGAAAGTTAAGAGAGCCTCATTCACCACTTGGCTGAACACTGGAATCATCTGGGGCTTAGAGGGGGGCATGAAAAAAAGATTAGGGTATCTGGCTCCCCAGACTGCAAGCTGAAGTCTTGGTACCCACTTCACTCTGCTGACCTGTGAGGTTTTCAGTAGGAACACACCCACCCCCAGCTCTGATGTTTCACTTTTGTTGCCATTAAGATAAAACATTTGGTAGAATACAAAAGGATAGGGATCTCAAAACCACAAGAGCCAGCAGAGGTGGCCAGTTGAGTTAATGAAGCTCTAGTTTAAATCAAGCATGCTTTGGCCGTCACACTCACTCTCTGGTCAGAGCTTGGGAAGGAGAGTATAGTAAGGGCTGCAGGGACATTAAGTACTCGAAGAAGAGCACTGCTTTTCCATGGTTCATTCCTTTCCAGTCATTTTATTCCAGTCAATTTTTTTGCAAAGTAGAATCCCTAAAAATCATCACCCCAAGAAGTCGCCTCCAGGCTGTGCAGAGGGTGAAATCTAATCGCCCCTCTTTATATCTCCACATTTCCAATCTCTTGGAAGCAATGAGAATTGCAGACTCAAATAGTTCACCTATGTGTCACCCATAGGTCTGTTTTTTTGGTTTTTTTTTTAAAGAAGAAAAAAAAAGGCTTTGGCTATCTATGTCCTCCTTTCCCTCAGCCAAAAATCTAGGAGACATCTTAGTTTTCAAAGTCTGATTTAAAAACATACACCAAGAAAATGAAAACACTCTCCACATTTGATCTCTTATCTAGGAAAACCAGGTTCCCTCAGAGGGACTCTCAAGGCTGTGAATCCCCAGTGTTTATTGTGTTAAGTGGGGCACATTGTTTCGTGCTCAGCTATAAAGTACAGTGAAGTAATAGTGGCCATGATGTCTCTGGGACTCCACTGTCCCCTGTCCATCAAAGTTGAGGGTTACCATAATATTAATAACAACACATCAGACCAGTATTTGGTCAGACAAATATTTATGTAGCATCTTTTTCCTCTAGAAGTAGGAAGCATTTGGCCAAATGAATCTTAATCTGCAAAAAAAAAATATTTCTGACATTAATAATAGGGATATTATGTATACCTTCTCCTCATCCGTGTATCACCCTGCACCTCATCCCACTCCTGTCAACCCCATTTAAAAATATACCCCCCAAAACCTTAATGATGAAATTGACCCAGTATTGACTTCTATTCATGTTTTTTTTTTCTATTTTCTTTTATTTTTAAAATTGGGATCAGGAAGCAAGGATAGTCTTCTTGTGTGTGTGTGTGTGTGTGTGTGTGTGTGTGTGTGTGTGTGTGTCTGTTGATGAAGGATGGGAATCAAAGGTCCAGCCAGGTCACACACCGTCTGTAATCCAAAGAGACTCCTATTCTCTTTCCTGGATACCTATTCTTCTTTCCATGGACCCTGCTCTGGTCACTGCTTCTATTTCCTGGACTTATCTCTCTCACCAGATTTCCCACCCCTTCTCTGTCCCTAAATATCCAGAAGCTCAATCTAAGGTTGCAGTCTGTCACAGGCAACAAAAGAACACAGATAATGAGACATAAGTTTCCTTGTTGGCCACCCTTTAAAATCTGAAATTGTGCGGTCGAACAGCTTCTTCTCCATCATGAAAAAGAGAAAAAGAATAGAAAATCCACAAAGAAGGCTGAAACTTAATGTGTCTTTGAACTTTATCCAAAGTGTAAAGAACCCCAAAGATAGGAACATGGACAGAAAAAAAAAAGACACTAATAAATTTATATTGACCATCACAGCAGGTTCTAAAAGAATTGAGTAAACTTGCTCAACATTGTCAGTTCCCTTTTACTTTCTTGGCCAACCCAAATCTATGGTAAAATATTACTTTCCAGTTATAGTAGTTTGCTGAATCTACCATATAAAATACTACAGATTGGTAGGCTTAAACAGAAATTTGGTTTCTCACAATGCTGGACAGTAGAAATTCAAGATCAAGGTGTCACCAAGTCTGGTGTCTTCTGAGGTTGCTCTCCTTGGGTAGAAGATGAGGATCTTTTCTTTGTGCTACCACCTGCTTGTGTCCTCATCTCTTCTTATAAGAACATCAGTCATATTGGATTAGGGTCCACAATTTGACTTCATGTTACTTCTTTAAAGGCCTGTCTCCAAATACTATCACCTCCTGAAGTACTGGAGGTTAGAGTTCAGCATAAGAATTTTGAAGAGACATCATTCACCCAAAACACCAGTAACCTGCAGCAGAACACTGCCAGAATGGAACTCAAATTTCTAACCCTAGATCACTGATTAGCCTTTCATTGACATTCTTTCTCAGGCCAAATAATCCTTCAGAATTGTAGCATATTAAAAGTGGAAGGTCTCTCATAATGATCTAACTGTAGCCACCTTGTCTGCCAGATAAGAAAGCTTGAGTCCTAATCTGTCTTACTCAGAATCATAGCGTCCCAGGATGACCCAGGGGAACACCACCCAGATATATTCTCCTGCTCCCCTAACTTCGAATCTCCTGCTTTTCTGATCTCCACAACAGGGTTACCTGCTACCCAGGCTCCCAATTGCAAATTTATAGCCCAGGGAAGTAGGTTAGAAAAGGCTGGTGAGGGAGCATAACTGCAGACTGAGAACTCGACCTCCCACTCTCCTTTTGGAAAGGGTTGGAGGGATAAGCTGTCTTTAATGAGTTCTCTCTGCTCACCCCTCCTCTCGTTTACTCCTGCCTTATGGCAGCTGTTACCAATTTTAGCAATTTTCTTCTGGTGAATTGAAGGCTCCAGGTGACAAAGGGAGTTGGCCATAACCTCCTGTAGAATGAGATAGGCTATGTCCTACTCCATGCAGCCCTGAAGCTTAAATTGGATAGTTGGGGCTCCCAGTGGGCATTTTGCAACCACTACCCACATGCATACATGCATGTGTTTATATACATGCATACACACACACATACATACATACGCACGCGCACGCACAACACATTTACACAAAGCAGGCTTCCAGGTATATGTCCATTTCTGAAATGCAATCTAAAAGGGACTTTATGTTAGTTCTCAGTTCACTGTCTGCTCATCTGTTTTTCCAGGGCCACCAAGATTTTTAGCATTTGCTTAGCTACAGGAATGAGTACCCCAATCTGACTCTTGCAATCACAGGAAAAGTAGGAAATAGGAAACATACTCAGAGAAAGGATTGGTACCGAACTTAGGACAACTGGCCACCTCCGTCAGCTGATCACACTCAAGGTACTTGGGAACAGGGTTGATCTCAGGCTCCCTGGTTAAACCACCTGTGCACAAATGAAACAAACACATAAGTACTGACTGCAGAAGAAAATGAATCAGTATCACCCAGATGAAATGCTCCAGTTGGTGTTTCCTTAACCTCAATGTGATGATTTATTTTGTTTTATATTCTTCTCTTTGGTTATTGATCAAAAAGTAGAAGAGTAAGTAGTTAAACAATTGTTTCACTTCTCTATTTGCCAATACTAGTGTAGACTCTGGGTATCCCAGGTCATAAACAAAATGAACTGTACACCTGCCCTTAGGGATCTTACAAACTAACAGCGGGAGACAGAAATTAAAGAGATGCATCTACAAATAAGGAGGTCATAACTGTGGAAACAGAAGAAGAAAGGGAGAGTCTAGAAGGAGGTCCTTTAGAAATCCTCTTTTATGAAGGAAGGAGGAGAAGAAAGGAAGAAACCAAGCATGAAGTATTAGGCATTTTGTTTTGTTCTCACTTTCTCTATTACAGCTGAGGGCCTCTATTTCAAAACTCCAACTTATCCGTCAACCTATAGAAAACCTATTTCTAGAATGCATGGCATCAGGATAGATGGCACAGGAGTACATATTATTTTATTTGCTGTTGTTTGGAAGAGTATGTTTGTGCCTTTGGGAGGGAAGACATCTCCCCAGGAATCCCAAGAACAAAATTCTGGGAGCAGTGGCTCCTGTCCTTCTGCTCCCTCCTCTCCCTAAGCTCTGTCATGTTTTCCTAAGCAATGTTCAGGAATGTGCAGGGCGGGGGCGCCTGGTCCTCAGTGCTGAGCCCAGGCAGCCCCAGTCACGGTCCCAGGCTGGCCTTTCACCTCATAGCTCTCCTGGCTGCTCTTATTAAGCAGCAAAATGTTTCAATATGTGGAGGTTTGGGGGAGGGACAGGAGAGAAAAATCGGGATATTGTTGAGAAGGAAATAATGAATAACCCTGCCGCCAGTCCTTGTACCCCCCACGTGGGCAGATCTGGGTGATAAGTGTGCTTTCTCCTGAAATGGAATCCTAGCAATTGCCTTTTGGTCAGAATTTTCCAGAGCCAGTTAGGGAAAGTGGGGGACCGAAGTAGGTAGAAAACCAATTTTTCTTGAAGGCTCCAGAACAAAAGCAGTCAGGGATGTGGTTACCCAATGAGGAAAGGGGAGGAGAAAGTATGGGGGTGCATAAAGTTGTTGGGTTTAATTTTTAAAAGCTGAAACACTCAGCTCTGCTCTGTCACCTCTGCCTCTTCCCCTTCAGTTAAATGGAGTTAACCTAAACCTTCTAAGACCTACTGCTTCAGTCCCTGAAGGGTGTTTCAGGCAGAAATCTGGTGAGCAATTCCTTGTCACAAGAGACCCAGAGGGGAGAGTGCAAGGGTGTGAAAACTGCCCACTGGAAAACACAAAAATAACTCAAGGGCAATTGTGGATCTGTTGTGTGGATGATCCAGGGGTTGGGCAGCCAAGAGGAAGCCTGTGAGCCTTGAACAGCAAAAGCATAAGTCCCGATCAAAACTGGGTCTAAAGGGAAAGTGAAGAAATGAGCAACATTTTAAATCTCAAGACAAATGTGAGGACCCCAAAACAACTCTTTAGGAAAAGTGCTTTAAGATACTTTTTTAAAAAAAAAAAATCAAAACTCCATTATAGAGGTGTCTCTATGACATTTGCAATCCACTTTGTTTGTATAGATAATGCCTTGAAAACTATAGTTCAGAAGAAGGTATATTCTTGGGAGAGGTCAAATAAGTGAAAAGAACAACCTTTAGGTAGGTACATGAAAAGTGAATGTGGACCTCACTAATATCGTTAAAGTCTGAGGAATGATCATTTGCATAGCAATAATTTGAAATTTTCAGAGAATAATCAATTTAAAGAAAGCCTGGGTCTCATGTGCCTGGCTTCACATAGCTGTATTTCTTTATGTGTGGGATATGTGTATGGTTTCTAGCATTCCTTGAAGTTTCCTAGTCACTTAGGGATGTTTCTGGAAAAGCAGCTGGGGGCAGATGGATGGCTGCCCTATTAGAACAATTCATCAGACAGTAGTTGAAATATTGATAAGAAAACGGAAATCAAATTACAAGAGGGGAAAAGAGAGAGGAAGAGGGAGTGGGACCTAGAGAGCCAGTGGGAGGCAACGAAGAGGAAAGCCGTGGTGCATACACTTACTCCAGCGGTTCCGGCAGCCCAGCACGAAGTGCCAGAGCTGAGGTCGCCTATCTGCATGTGCTGGAAAGAAAGGCGAATTTTGACTGCCAGCGGTCAGCAAGGTTTAATTCTGTACTGCCACAGTTTGGGGAACTCTGAGCAGAGACAATAAGCACAGACAACTGGAACACCCTGGAGTTGCGGGAGTTCAGCTCCTGCTGGCTTAGCAGGAAAGGGTGTCTAAGGTGAGTGTTTCCTTTGTGTCGGATCCTCCCTGGGCAATGGGTGATGCAGGGTCTGGGCACCTCTCTGCCATGGCTGTTTGCGCTGGTTGCAGTTGGGAAATAAGGAGTTTTCTGGAGTTGTTTTTTTCTTTCTCTTTTCTCATTTTATCATCTTTTTTCCCCCTTTCATATCCCACTGGGTCTTGCAAAGAAAATGGGGAGACTCTGAGAAAGGGCCAAGGAGTGTGGAAGCAGTGAAGGGAGTCTATGAGCTGGAGAAACGGACTTTGTTCCTGAACTCGTGCGTGTCTGTTGTGGCTTCAGGAGCCAAAAAAAAAAAAAAAAAAGGCTGGAATTTGTTAGCAGGGAGAAAACTGCTTTATCAGAAACACATTGGCTGCCAGAGAAGCTGTGCACTGCCACATTAAAGATGGCTAAAAAGAAGGAAGAAATGAGAGCGAGCCATCAGACTGGGTTAAGGCAGGGACAGATCCATTCATGCTGAGGCACCTGGCACCCTAGGGTATTTTTTTTCTCCCTCCAGTCCAAATATTCAGACTAAGACACCTCCTTTGCCACTAAAAATGGGGGCCGGATATTCCTTGTCATTGTCTCTACCCACAAACCTGTTTTATTTCAGAAGAAGGAGGGCTCTTTCCTGGGAAAGGGCCTCCACAGACCTCTGAACCTTTAGCCAGTCTTCCTTCATAACCGATCTATCCACCAAAAGGGAAGAATGTGGCAGTTAGCCTGTACCCTGGGAGGGCACAAGCATTGGCAGCTCTGAAATTATCTGCTCCCCAGGGCCTCAGGCTGCATGGAAGGTGAAACTTACCACCCCCCTGGCTACTTTCTCTCCAGTCAGGACAAATCTCAATGGACCCAGGTGCAAAAATACACAAGCCCTGGAAAAGGCTGGTTTCTCTGATTGCAGTAGGGAATTATAAGAAAGAGATCCAGAGATGTGAGCTCACTCTCAGTTCTCACCATCCTCTATTCAGAAGCCTTTCTGCAGAAGCGCAGGGAATTCCCTAGGACTCTCCCTGGCTGGAACCTGAGCCTTCCAACTCCCAAAGTTTTCTGCTTGCATTAGTTTGATCACTTGCTCCACTCTCTGACTTAATTTTCTCCCACCCAGGTTGGTTCTCGAGCTTTCTGGACCCTTTCTCAGGAACTAGGATGTTTCAGACAGTCCCTGACACATCGTCTTACGTCAAGGTAAGACATGACAGCATCTTTAAGCAGGTAATGAGCCACTCAATTCTCCTCCACCCCTCACCATAGGCCTATAGTCCATTCATCCTTTTTCCAGGAAAGGGGGAAGGAGGAAAACCCTTGGGACTCAGTGTTTAAGGATAAGACTTGGCAATTCCTGTTTGGGAGACTGGGAAGCAGGGGAGCCTAGTGAAGACTGAGCTGGAAGAACTGGTCGCCCGCCTATGTCAGGTCCCAAAGGCTGGTGTTCTCTGGCCACTGCAGGCTCCCTGCATTAAGGATGTGTACATGTTTGCATGGGAGAGCAAGTATGCAGATGTGGGAGTATATGTGTTAGTGCGTGTGAAGTGGGCGGGTGTGCAAGTGGGTGGGTGCAAAGCATTTCTCCTATGGTTTGGACAACAGCTCAGCCCGGAAGCCCACTTTCCTCTGCCCGCTCCCACCCTGAAAGCGCTGATTGCTATATTTGACAGCACATCGAAGGATTTTTTTTTTCTAACTTTCCACAACAGTTCCCAAGAATGTAAACAAACCAAAGCTGGGACATCTGGGTTACACGTTTAATGAAAACCCCCTGACTGAGCTGGGAGGAGAGTGCGCACCGGGCGGCCCTGCCCAGAGTAGGGGTGGTGGCAAGGTTTTTAGGGCTGCAAGGACCTCACCCCTCCTGGTCACGACCTTACACCTTCCGGGTAGGACCCCCAGAGCCCCGAGTACCTGAGCTTGCTTTAGAGAGAGGAAGAAAGACTCACTCAGGTGCTGCAAACGGATGCAGATCTCCTTCAGCTCCTTGCCCCGCCCTCTATCTTGAAGCCTCGCCCCCTAGTGCCCCACCACCACCGGTGCCATTCGGTTGAGCTCCCTCCAGAGTCCGCTAAAGCTATGGCTGTGTCTGGGCTTGTTCGCTTGCACCTGATAAGTGTGCGGACTCTTAAGGTCTTGTCCAGGGGGCGCCAATTATGTGTCGACCCTCCTTAGATCTCTCTACAGGGAAACAGGTCAGGTAGAAATAAGCGAGCATCTTTGCGCTCCCCACCTGAGATCTGAAGGAGTCCACGGAAAGCCGGATCCTGGAGGCTTGGCCGGGAAAGAATGTTTAATAAACAATGAGAGAGAGAGAGAGAGAGAGAGAGAGAGAGAGAGAGAGAGATATCGAGATCCTTCCATCAATGATTAGCGAATGGAGGGGTGGACAAATGGCTCCTAGTAGGTGCTTGAGCACAATCTTGAGATTGGACTAAAACATACAAAGTTCCCTGAATTGGGTTTTCCTAAGAGGTTCAGGACGCTGCAGACCACTCCCATCTAGAACATAGCCCAAGGAGCTTTAGCTTCAAGCTCTTCTCTAGGACTGTAAATGGCTCCTGGATACGGAGGTGCAACCTCCCTTCCACACACACCCCAGGACCCAGAATCTTAGGGATGAGGAACGCCAAAGGGGCAACCGGAAGTCGAGGAGCCAGACCCAGGCTAAGGGTCAGGGAGAAAGCAAACGGGTTTGGGAGAATTGAGCAGACCAGCCTTGGGGGGGTGGGGGCCCGCAGTCTGGGAGCTGTGGGCCGCCAGAAGAGCAGCTCGCCGCAGGAGCTCCTTTCAAGAGGGAAAATGGATTTTTCAGCAGCCACAAAGTTTGTATTGTTGCACAAAGGGGTGCATTGATGACGCTGAAAGGTCTTCGTGGCAGGGACAATCTTGGGTCTGTTCCCTGGTTCCTTCCACCAACCATTTGCCAGAGGGGTACAAACAGACTCAGGCTGCCAAGCCCCTGCCATTCCCAGTCCAGCACCCGGCTCTGAGGTTGTTGACAAACACAGCAGGCCTAGGCTCCTGGGCCCCAGGAGTCCAGAGCCAAGCTGAGCCCTGAGGGTCAAGGGTGCCCACTCCACAGGGCAGCGATCTAGATGGTGACCTGAGTCCCTCAGGGCCCTCAGAGCACTCAAAAGTACATACAGGGGAAGAGCTTAAGACAGTTATAGAACTGGAAGGACATGAGGGAGAGGAACTGAAGACCTTAACTCAGCAGTGATACTATTGATCCCTATTTCTCAGATACCCTCATCCCTGCCAGGCCATATTCTAAATACCAACTCACTTATAATGAGTCTAACAGTTGGTCTCCTATTTTGCAGATGAGAAGGTACTGAGAGGTTAATGTGACAGAGCTTGTAAGGGGCAAAACCATAGAGATAAATAAGGGTAAAGTTGTGCTGCCAAGCAAGTGCTAGATAACTTATTTCATCTGTAGAGAAAGCCCTTTAAGATTGGTTCAATTACAAACCCCTTGTATAGATAAGGACACTGAGGCCCAGAGAAGAAACGTGTTCAAGGCCACAGAGCTGTTAAGTACTGAGGTAGAATTCAAATTCAGGTAGCCAGATCATCCAACCAGAAGGTTCTTTGACGGCACTCCTCTGTGTGACAGGAAGAGGGACCAGGATACTTAGTGGGATAACCCTGATGAGCGCCTGCCACAGCGGCAGTAAGCAAAGCACTCCTTTCTTCAAGTCTGTGGATCACATCTCTAAAAGCTCCTCTCTTATCCCTTGCCGGACTGGCAGGGTCCTACCCTTTCCTTCTTTGCTCATCTGCTAGACTCCCTGCTCTCCCTCCTCCACCTATCAGCCTGCCAATTCGGCCAGAGTAGCATTTGCGGGAGATGCCTCCTCTGCCCGCCCCCTAGTTGAAGGGGGGCTGTTAGCCCTCATAATTTCACAGCCCCAAGGCCAGCAGATCCGAAGCTGCATTTCAAGGAAACTGGTCTTGGAATGAATAGTGTTTGGGACGACTAACTGGGAGGAGGGGACTGATGGGGATTGGAGAGGCTGAACCACCTCCCCCCCCACCCCAACGTACGCAAGCCCGTGTCCCCATCGGGGCGTCACCACTGGGTGAGGGTCCTGACACCTGGCTGGTCTCCGCCTCTTGTCAGCCTGCGCTTTCTGGTCAATCTCGGACTCCCCTGAGGTTTCTTCGTCGACGCCGCGTGGTCTGGGGGCCCAGCCCCGGAGCGTCTGGGGTCCGGGGCGCAGAGACCCTCCCTCCCCCTTCTGGGCCTGCCAGCCCCGGGCCCTTCAGCCGCTGCGGCCTCCCACGTAGCATTTTGAACTCGCTCGGTGCTAAGGCAAGAACGAGCGTGGGGAGCAGGCAGGGCGAGCAGAGGCTTTAAATCTTCCTTCAATCTGTGAGTAGATGAAGTCTGAGAAACAAATTCAAAGCAGGCGCGCGCCTGCAGAGCCTTCCTGCAGAAATATTCCCCGGCATTCAAGCGCATCCAGGGGCGGCTCGAGCTGCCTTGTTTGGCTAAGGTCAGACGAGACTCGAGTTCTCCAATAAAAATAAATCTCAAATTAATTATGGCCTCGAGCGAGAGGCCAGACACTTGAAGCTGCAGTTGTGCAGTCTGGAGTTTTGGCGCTCGCCCGCCACCCCTCCCCCAGCTCGCCAGCTTCTCCCTCCCTCCGCCTCCCGCTTTGCCAGCTTGGATACCCGCTGCGGCTGCTCCGGACCAGCCGGGTGGGTGAAGACAGAGGACGAAGAAGGAAGGATCCGCCCGAGACGCTCTGCCAGGCCTGGAATCTTTCGGCGTTTCAAGTGACTGAGCTGTCCCCGAGTCGGGAGGCACCCCAGGGACCAGCTATGGTTGTCACGTCCTCCCTCCCCCAACCCAGGCTGGAACCTAAGGAGCCCGGGAAGCCTGCGTCTGGAAAGTCTTGACCCGGTCAAAAGGGCTGACATTGAGCGAGCCAAGACACGTTTCGCCCAGCCGTTCCCCTCCCGGGGGAAGCAGGACTTCCGCATCTTTGAAAATATTGTCAAGTGCGAATGGTGAGAGGCAAGTGGTCTCACCGACGTTTCAATGAAAATGATCCAAATATTTCCTAAATATTTGCCTACATATGTACCCTTTCTATAGTTCTTAGAAAGATGTGGTGGGCTTGTTTTTTTTGTTGTTGTTTGTTTGTTTTTTTTGGGGGGGGGGTCCTCCGGTTGGCAGCTTTAAAAAAAATGCTTGGCCTAGCTTCTTTGGCTGTGAGCTTTCCCTGACTTGAAAGCCAGGAATGGGTTGGTGGAATGGGCACTGATGCTACCCATACCAGATCCTGGTCACCAGCCCTGCCCAGTCTGGGAAAGAGTGAGGCCAAATAGTCCCTGGTGAGCCAGGAAAGAGGGTGTGCACAAGTGTGTGGGCAGGGGCGACCATTCCTAAACTAGGCTTGTAGACAAGGGAGAGAGGGAGGAGGAGAGTGATGGGGAGAGGGAAGAGGATGAGGAAAGAGAAGGGGAGGGAGAGGCCAGAGTAGCAGAAAGCTCCACCCCACCCCCAACACACAAGATAGTTTTCATTTGTAGCCTCACCGCAGGCTCTCTATCAATTTGTTTCAATGCAAACATTCAAAATATGCTCTTTGGCTGCTCGTGAAAACAATGTGAGCTGCCAGGATCAAACCATCTTTCCAGATGTCTGGTGGTAACCACATTAAACAGGGCAGACTTGTTTACTGTTGTGTTTGGTTAGGGCTTTCCCCCCTTTAGGATTTAAAAAAGCAGCAGCAGCATTGGAGTGGAGCATGGAGCCCAGACTTACATAAGTGGGACAAACTTGTCCACCAGCACCTCAACATAGGAGGGAAGGAATCTGATATTCCCTTAGAAATCTGCTCAGAATTGGCTGGGGTCTTCTTTCTCAGAAAAGACCTTGTGAATGGGCAGTAGCTCCTTATGCAGGGACTAGTAAACAGCAAAAGGCAGCTGCACTGGTGCCAATTTGAGAATCACAAAGGGGCAATGATGCCTATGTCTATGCATAGTTTGATGCCTCTGCCAGGCTCCCTTTCCCTGACTTCCAAATTTGTGAAGTTGCTATAACTTTGGTTTTATAGGCAGAAGCAGAAAATGCTGTTGTGTTCCGAAGCTCAGACAGAAGGCCAATCTTCATTTTAATCTACTTTCATATTGAGCACTTCCAACAGGAAAGGCAACTGGTACTAAATGGGATTGTGGGGTGTACTGTTGAGGTGATAACTGATCACTATAGTGAACAGGACTGTTAATTGCCAAACCAACCAGAGTTGGAAAGAAAAACCTAGTGATTGTGTTTGCCACAGAGTGCCTTTAGGAGGAGTGTGGGGGGGCATGGGGGGTTGCTGCTAGCCGCCACGTGTGGGGTAGCCATTAAGGGCCTCTGTGATTGCCCAGCATCAGGAAAGGGGCCTCTTGGTGATGAAGTTGAAGTCCTTTCTAGCTAAAAGAGGAGCAATGTGGCTGGAGTGCGCGGGTTTCTGGTGAGGACCCGGTGGGAAGCGGTCTCCCCGCACCCTCCTGAAAGCCCTGTTGTCGTTTGAAGGTCGGTGAAGTCTGGGCAGAAAAGGAAACAATTTGGGGTTTGAAAGGATGTAATTCATTCTTCCTTTCCCTTTAACCTCTTTCCTCTCTGGAAAGCATGTGGAAACGCTGAAGGGAAGAGCAAGAGGGCGGGCAGCCTGGCCGCGGGAAGGAAAGGGTTAAGCCTGATTTCTTTTAATTGAACTCCAGAACTGGTGGCCCCAGGCAAAGGGGGGGGGGACTGACCCCGCTAGCGGTAACCAGATGTGGCGGTCCCAGGGGAGCCCCGGAGCAGACCCCTGGATTGAGAAGCAGACTGGTGGGGGGAGTCGGCCCGGCCCCCTTCCCACCAACCACCCCACTCCACCCCCCACACACACACACGCACACGGAGTCTCAATTGCTGGCAGGCTGCACCCGCCACTCCAGGTCTGGTCACGTTCAGACCCGTGTCTGTATTCGAACCCAAAATTGGAGCTGAATTGATGAGACTAATTTCGAGAGGGGGAGGAAGGAGGGAGGGAGGGAGGCGGGCGAGCGAGCTCTCAGGCTCAATTGCTCCTGAAGAAATAAAGAATTAATGTCACCTTTTTCTCCGCTGTGGACACACTTTTGAATATTTTTCTTTCCGTTTCACTCGGATCTTCTCTGGATTTTTTTTTCCTCTTTCCCCGGGCGGACTCTTAAATAAAAGTGAGACAGTCACAAGCGTGGTCTGCAGAGCGTGGACAAGGTAACCTGTTTTGGAGATTGGGGAGAGGGAGTCAGGCCGAGAACGCCCGGACCACTGAAGGTTGCCCTAACTAGAGCGCGCGGCGGCCCAGCAGGGGAACTGGGAGGTCTCTGGGTGAGCCTGGCCGGACAAGTGGGTCGAGGAGAGGCTGGTCTCCCGGCGGGATGGGGATGACAGCCTGGAGCGCTGGCCCCCTTGTCTCACTCCGGGAGAAGTCTGGGTCTGTGTGGCGCTGTGGCATGCTGCGCTCCGGGGACCTGCTGACCAGCGTGGAGGGAACATCCGCCGTAGTGTCAGTTTCTTGGGGGCCATGGTAGAATTGCAAGAAGGACTCTGGCTTGGTTGCCGAGGCTTGGGCCGTCGGGTCCCGTTAAGCGCGAAGGGATTAACCCAAGAAGACGGGGTAGATTGACCTAGGGTGCCGCGGGTCCCAGTCCTTCGCGGACGCCGGGACCCGAGAGTCGAGGCGCGCCGCCAGGAGGGCGCCCCTTTCCTAAAAATGCACCCGGAATCGAGTTGCGCCCCTGACGGCTCACGTCAGCCTGAAATCGCCCCGAATCCGCGTGGATAAGTGGGTGAGCTTCCGCGGGAGTCCGCCTCATGTCAGCATCAGAGGGCCCGAATGGGAAAATTCTCATTGGATGCACTTTCCAATGGTTGGTTTGCCTCGTCTGCGTCCGAATCTTCTCAGGAGTAAGCGCCAGGTTCTGCCTGCCCTAGTAAACTCTCCCGCGGTCCTCCCATTCCCAAAAAGTTTGACTCCGGCTGGAAAAAGCATTAATGAACCTATCTGTGGGAAGAAACGGAAAGTGAATGAGTCAGGAGGGCCACCTTCGGCCAACGGCCCCAGGAAAAGGAAAGAAGCCAAAGGCGTATGGTTTTGGATTTTGGGGGAAGGTGTTGGGGGCTGGTTGCAGACTGCGAGGAATCAGGGCGCGGACGTTGGGCGTGGACCCCGTCATTGTTCCCAGCTAGCTCTTATCTCCTAGGAGCAAGTATCCTGTGTGCGTAGTGCATGAATGTATCTGGGCATCTCCGCGTATATTTATATAGTGTGTGATGCGAAAAGCAGGACTAGGCGAAGAGAGGAAGAGGGGGTGTGGGGGAGGGAAGACAAGGGAGAGCAGAGGGGAGAGAAGAGAGAGGAGAGCGCGAGGCGAGAGAGAGAGAGAGAGAGAGAGAGAGAGAGAGAGAGAGAGAGAGAGAGAGAGATAGGACTTCCTCCCCGTTCGCAAAGTGAAGTCACTTCCCAAAATTAGCTGAAAAAAAGTTTCATCCGGTTAACTGTCTCTTTTTCGCTCCGCTACAACAACAAACGTGCACAGGGGAGCGAGGGCAGGGCGCTCACAGGGGGCACTCAGGGAGGGCCCAGGGCGCCAGGGAGGCCGCGCCGGGCTAATCTGAAGGGGCTGCGAGGTCAGGCTGTAACCGGGTCAATGTGTGGAATATTGGGGGGCTCGGCTGCAGACTTGGCCAAATGGACGGGACTATTAAGGTAAGCGGCTGGGCATTGGGTGCCGGGCGGCGGGGCCCAGCAGCTCGGTGGGGCGGCAGGCAGGCTGGGCGCAGGGCTCCGGGGTCCCGGAAGACGTGGCCTCTCTCCCTTCCTTCCGCGCCCCCGTTTTGCGCGGTCTCCTCCACTGCTCGGATTGTCAGTCCCACTTTCGGGGAGGCCGGCCAGGCTCCCCACGGAGGGCGATCTCCCCACATCCCCTCTGCTAAAGGGGACTCCGGCCCCCTCCTGCCACTCTGCCAGTGGGTCTGCAGGAGCGGGCGGCGGCTTAAAAGCTGGAGACCCCGGGCGCGGATCAGAGTCAGGGGCGGGAGACCTTCGGGTCTACCATTTCCACCCGGCAACTAGGGCGCCCTGGCTGCCGCGCAGGGCTCTGGCGGTTAGCTTCCTCTCGCCAGAGGCCGAAAGCGGCGGAGGCAGGGGCAGTGGCAACAGCCGTCTCACTCGGGTCCATGCCTGATGGGCCCCGGAGCGACTAAGTGGATTAGTAGCAGGCGGATGTGGGTGCAAGGGAGTGTGTCCGAGGGTCTGCCTGAGCGGGCTCTTCCTGATGGAAACCCCTGTTTACATGTCAGCGGAGATTGGTTTCCTTTCCCTCTCGCTACTTGTTGCCCAGTTCTCAGCACTCGGCTAGCCGGCTCTCCGGGACTAACGGTCCGGCCTCGCCGCTTCTCGTGCAAGGAATCTCCATCTCCAACCTCGGTCCGCTCAGCTCCTCTGTACCCCGTGCCTTAATCCTTCGCGCCCCGGCATGCGTCAGCTTCAGGGGACGGGTTCCGGGAGCTGTCTTCTCAGCGAGAGTCCCTCGCCCTTCAGAGACATCCCCCGGCGGTGGTGGCGGGTTCAGAGCTCGCGGTCCTGGCGCCTGCCTTGTCAATCCCAACCTCATCAGCGCCGCCACGCCTGGGTCTAGGATGCAAAGTGCAGCCTGAGAAACTAGTGAGGGTCTGGGTGCCTTGTCAGACTTAAGGAGAGTTCACTGCTTGCTCCCTTTTCTGAAAGGGGGAAGTGGACCAGGAGCGGAGAGGAGGGACACCCCCTAACGTGACTGCCTCAGAGAACCTAGGGGAATGAATGGGACCAGAAGTTAGCTTCCAGGCTGCCATGTAATACCAAGCAGGCGTTTGTCTGGAAAAACTATTAGGCTGGTGAAGTGAGGAGTGGCAGAGCCCGCCATTCCCCAGGACCCAAAGGA